TGTGATGGAAACCCAACATCTCCAACTTATGAAGCAGTCTTTCGTGTGGTATTCTATCGAAGGCTTTCGCAAAGTCAAAATATATAACATCGCAGCATCTACTATTATAATATCAAGTACTACTGACCAGTCCTCAAGCCTTTCAATCATGGTTGTCTCCACTGACCTCCCAGGCACAAAACCATGTTCGACGATTACGAGATTACGTAGGAAGGAAGGGTGTAATGTCTCTGCTTCAATAATAAGCTTTTTCATTACTCACACTAACAGTGATTCCCATAGCGGTTTATGGATAGCATTTCAATAGTTTTATTTGCGATAGACTTTTTTCATACACCTTGTTTTTACTTGATGTTTATTGTTAATTGCTCTTATTTCCGCCGTAGTACGCCATCCGAAAGTCTCACAAGGTTAACGAGTCATAGACGAAACCTGACCTCGGGCGGGACTCCTCGTACTTGTGTTATCCGGGCGCCTGTTCATATACTTAAGACTATTGAGAGGCTTCGAGTCTCGTCCGAGGCCGAGGTTTTGCCCATAGTTCGCTAACCTAGGAAAGGAGTTAGTGGCGAGCGTCGCCGCAGCTAATACCACCGCCACAGTCTTGTGGTAAACGTTAGAGGTGTCGGTAGGATAAATACAAGTTTTAACAACAGCTAAAAACTCGGCTGGCTTAGTACTGAAATGGAAGAACTCGCATGTGCCTTTCCCGAAGGAAGCTTATCAGGAGCTGGCGCTACATACCAGGTCGGTGCATGAGTTTTTCCCGTGTTTGATCCTTCCATATTTCGTTTGTATGGACGTTGGTATTTCGCCATCACGTGTGGGTGAAGTATGCATGATACTTTTCTTCACATAAGCTATCACTCACCTACCCTGCCTCGCGCAATTTTCACAAGTTCGTCACATCGGATGTGGACAGAAAGGCGCTTAACGGCTTCTTTGGGTCCCAGCCTCGTCCTACTGGGAGGATGGAATCGACAACCTGCCTAAGCGCTTGCGTCGAGCAGAAGATGGTGATGGTATAATACATACCTCTATTCTTCAAGCAAGTTCACTATTGAGATATTGACAAAAAAGGAGGAGATAAGAACTTGTGCATCAACCTAATATATCCCAGCAACTCTTGAGATTCACTACCATTCCGGCAGATTTTATTAGTCAATATTATTTACATATTAATTTTTATATATTGTATTTTATATATTAATTTATTAATTTTATTAATCAATATTAGTGAAGAATCGCAAATAAACAGTTTCACAAGCAAAGATTGTTTTACCTATCACGGACGTATTTTATGTAGGCAATAGGTCTCATGCATGCAATCACACGCTCCGTTCCCATAATCAGTTGTATTACGGGAGGCCAAACATTTCCAATTATTCTGAAAATAAA